CACGAATTGAAACTCTACTTAAAAAACCTCCAAATTATCCAATATTGTATCTTGTCATTCAAAAAAAGATGAAAATCATGATAATGCTGAATCTGAAAGAAGTGTACTAATGAATTTAACTTGTGATCTTAGAGTTGAATAGCTTTGAGATTGAAGTTCAATTATAACTTGTATTTGATTGATAAATCTTCAAAAATTAGATCTTGTACTATTAAAATTTTCAATTAAGGCAACTCTTGGTTCTCTAGTACCGAAAGGATGTTCCATTGTAGGAGAAAGGACATGATTGGGTACACATGTTGATGCAACTCCAATCATATTTATATCATCACTTCTTGTAATTCTTGTTGCTCTTTGTGGTGGTAAATTGAGCTGATGCATTGCAAGCATTAACTCTTTCAATTGCTTTTGTATTTGTATCATTGCACTGTTCATTTTAACAAACTCTATCATGATAATACCTAAAAAATTAGTGTCTAATATTACTCAAGACAAGCAAAAGAGGAGACTTGAGAACAAAGAAGATACTAAAAACAATATTAGTTTAAAAGAGGATAATCCGCAACTTCTAATATGCTTATGTCTTATCAAGAAAAATAGATAATACACTCTTAATCAAGAAAAGACAAAGCTCTAATATTATAAGTATACTCTTTTCAATCTATCAAAGACATGAACTAGAAGAAGATGCATAAACCTGAAAAATTTGTGTTAGAAGAAAAGTGACAAAATAACAATAAAATAATATGTATATTAAAAAGAAATTTGAATAGCTATTGCTAAAAAATAAGAAAATTAGAGACTCTTAAATCTAAACTAGAAGTAAGAAAGGAGTTGATAAGAGCAAAGAAGGCTTCACTCTTATCTCTATATATACTAATTAAGTTATATATGTATCAAAGGTCTTATAGAATGTTGTCATGAAGCTCTTAGTTAGATGGTATATATTAAAGCAAGAGTGAAGTCTTTCTCACTCTTTTCAATGTATTTCTTGATTTTAGTCTTATTATAAGAATCTTTAGTCTTCTAATCTTTGATAATAGCTATTCTAGTTCTAATATTATACTATCTTTGAGTAAAAATTTACTTTTTTTAATAACATAAGAATATATTGAGGTTTTTGTTATTTTTTATTCATATCTTTGGTACATATAGTATTAATCAAAATAATTTTAATAGATATAGTCAATTTATACATAAAGAATTTGCTTAAGAAGTAAGCCATCTATATAAGCTATAAGTATTTACAATGCTAGAAATATTAATATATTCTCATCTAAAATATATTTGTCTATAGTTTTTCATTAGATAATAAAAGTTCTATTTTTTCTTTTTATTATAATGAGGTATTATGAAAGATAAGAAATAAAATCACAAGTATAATATTAAAAGAAGATTTATTGTTAATATTACTAATGCCACCATAACTTTTTCTTGTGTTACAACAATCTACTATCTATTCAAAATATTAACTAAGCTTTTTTTATTCCAATAAAAAAATTAAATTAAGTAATATTAATATTATATAATTTAGCTATATGATTTTTTTAAAATAAAAAGTACTAAATAAATATGTTAAGTAGGTGGCATGTTGTAGTGGCAATAGTAAAAACTAAGATAGCATTAGCAATATCCTTTATTATAGTAGATAAAAAAAACAAGTAATTATTTTACTAAGTTAAATAATTTTATTTTTATAAGCATTTTTTAATTCTTTCAAATGATTTTTCAAATATCATATCAAAATATTTTATATTTTAGAATATAATTCTGTAAAAAAATTTATAAAAAATAGAAAAAAAATAAAGATATTATAAAATATTATCTCATTATAGTATCAAATGGATGCAAAGCTTACTGAAATATCTATCATAAAATACTTATGGATTTTTAGATTAGTTATACATCAAAGTGCAAAAAAATCTTAATGCTAAAAAAATAAATTAAGAAAAATATTTAAATTTTAAAAAAATATATATCTTAATATAAAGGTTGATTTTCTTTATTGTTGAAGACAACATCAATTTAAAAAAAGAAATTTATTTTAATCCCTAATAATAATAAAAAAAATTGAAGAATTTTATTTTTAAAGTTAGTTGTTTAATTTTTTTAGATATTTCAAAATATTCAATATTTAAATAAAGAACTTCAACTAAAAAATTTTGTCAATAAAATCATGCATAAATATACATTTTTGATAAAAGAAGATCTCTAAAAACTAGAAAAATCAATTAGTCAACTTAAACTTTAATTTTTAATTTATATAATACAAAATTCTAATAATATTTGAAAACAAATTATGTATTCTATTTCATTGGTTGATAATTCATTATATATCAAAAGAAATAAGTCATAAAAACATCAAAATTACAATCAAATATACGTATTGGTTTTAGAAAAGATAGTGTAAATATTGAAATTTTAATATATTTTTTATAAATATATTTATCAATATATTTATTGATATTATTCTTTGATATAAAAATAAAACTTTTAAAATAGTGGAAAATTGATGAAGTTTATATTTATTGATTAAAATGATATGAACAACTTTATTGTTAATTTCTATAAAGCTAATAAGAATAAATATTAATAAAAAAAAATAATTATATAATCTCTTGTATAAGAATTAATAGAATAATATTTAATATGGTTAATATAATAGTAAGTTATCTAATTATTTTTTCTTATGTTCTGAAGTTAAGTAAGAATATACAATCATGAAATTATATTTATTAATGCTAATATAGATTAAAAAATTATCTTTTATATCTACTAATGATTATTTGAAGTTTTTAATTACTTAAAGATTACTAAGCATTTTGATTGCTAAACATTTTGCAAGAAATTATCAATAACTTCTACAAGAAGTGATAAATTGTTTATTTTCAATTCAAACATTAACAATGTTTTGTATACAAAGGTATAGTATACTTGATGATTAAAATCATAGATTTAGTTTTTACTTATTTTTTATTTTTTAAAGATCATATATGATAAAATAAAATAAAATAAAAAAATCAAATCAAATCAAATTTTAAATTCTATTATATGTACATTAATTTTATATCATACAAAATAATTATTTTTATACAAATATTTTATAGAGTGTTGCTCTTATTATTTGGAATGACGTACCAATACAACATTACTATTGTGTAGAAGCTAATAATAACTTATTTAAGAAATCTATATATTAAAAATATTCAAGGATACAAGTAGTGGTTTTTGATGGTTGCATAGTTTGGTCTTTGTTTTCATCAAAAACTTTCACCTTTTCCTAACTTCACAGGCCGTTTTATAAGTTGTTTTACAAAGCTTTGGATTGCAAAGTCAGTACCTTCATGCATTCATTTGGTCTTTGTTTTTATCACAAAATTTCATGTTTAGTGGAGACAAAATGTAGATCTTATTCATTGCATGCACCTCTTTTTGTTTTCATCAAAAACATAATCTTGTCAAGAGTTTACATGGCATTTTATCATTGATCATGGGGAATTTACAAGGAATTTTATGTTGTGGATTGCTAGTCATAGCATCAAAGCAGTAAGAAGGAAATTAAGCAAGATAATGACAATATCTACCCTTCGTAATTAACTTTATAGTTTCTCATTGTTGTTCTATGTTCAAGGGTTCATTGTTATCATCATTATTATTTTGCACATTTTATTACTAATTAATTGTATTTTTTATTTTTATTTTTATTTTTTTTCTTTGTGGCAATGGTTATAGTGAAGCAAAGACAATGAAAGTTACAAATACTAATAAGAGAGCTATTCTTGAAACCAATAGTGACTCCATAAGATGAGACTATTATCTTTCTTAATGAAGATTTACAATAATTTCCCTCTCTTCTTAATTGTGATTATGCACTTATTCTCAACTCCACTAAATAGGTCAAAATATTCTTATTCAACTTTTTATTTTTTATTTAATTCTGCAAAGAAAGCTAAAAGAAGAAATTCTATCCTTTAAAAGAAACCAACTAAGGAAAAATTAGAGAAGAAAACAAAAACATCAAAATCTTCAAGGTTGCCTACGAAGGCAACATTCAAAAAGTCAAAAGATAACAAGTACAAAGCTTCTGAATCTCATTCATCAAAGGAGAAGAATGCTACTAAGCAACCTGCTTTGAAGAGAGATAGGCAAAGATCAAAGAAAGATACATCATCAAAGACTCTTGTATCTAAGATTAAAGGTGATAGACAGGGAAGTAGCCATAGCTCATTAGAAAGTAAACCGTTAATATGTAAGATTGCTTCAAAAATGAAGTGATTCAAAATCAAGCCAATCTCAAAGGAGAATGAGAGTTATATCACTAGTTCTTAGAAGACTTGTTTTGCAAAAAGAAGGTATCCAACTCATTGGAACTAAGACAAGAAAGAAGTTTGACTGTGTATTTTACGATGGAGAAGTAATTGGATATGCAATTTTACAAGATACATTATTTTTTATTTATTTATTTTTTTTTTTGAGCTTTGAGGCCATTTTAGGCCAACAAGAATTTGACAAATGGACTTTGTGTGGTTTATTAGTTCTATAATGAAATCTTTTCATTGGCCTTTATGTGGTTTATTCTATACTTTGTATGGTATATTAGACATAATGAAACCTTTTCATTGGCCAAAATCAAAGAAATTGTTAACAAATAAAAATCCATGTATAACTTGGAGAAAGACCTTCAATTTACTATTTGTACATTAGATTGTTTTATAATTTTTTTGTGCCCTACATCACAAATGTAGGGCACAAATAGCTATATATATATATATATATATATATATATATATATTAAAAAAATAGTAAAATTTCTATGGTTTTTAGTTAAGATTTCTATCAAATTCTTAATACATATTCTTAATAAAAATATAAAATAAAAAATCTTAATAATATTAGAAATTAATTAATTACTAGAAGTTCAAACATAAGTAATCCATCAAAAAATGAATAACATCTTTTGTATATCTATGAACATGGATTTAACTTTGGCTTTCCAAATATTAGCCATTTGTGTCAAAACCACAAGTTGTAAAGTTACACCCAAATTAACTTCTAACAAACCAATAAGTAATATAAATACAAAATGAAGACCAATCATGTTTTATTTTTTGTGTAAAAATATATTCTCTTAAAAAAAGAATTCATTTAATAGGTAATGTTTGTGCACTCAACAACACAAATTTGCACTAATACCCATTGTACACGAATAAGTATAAACCCTAAACCCTAAATGCTGGTGACAACACGTGTTACTTGCTTGCGCGAGTCGCCAGAGTCTACTAGTGCGTCGCGGTGCCAGCAGCGCTGCATGTTTCTGGGCATCAAGAGCTTTTGTTTTGTAGTCAAAACATGCGACATCGTTCTGCAATCGCTGGGGCACTCGTTTTGCAATTTCACTCTAGTGAGCAGAGAAAGATGCCGCTGTGTGATTTAGTTTTGGGGTGTGTCTGGTGTCCTCATCCTCAAGATCCACGTCTCCATGTTGTTTGCCTCGTGTTGGTGGAGTGTTTCAGCCATTTCTTCGCGACCCGCGTGATAATTGCGCTGCACAAGAGAGGCATTATTCCATTCATGGGTCCAAGAGATAAACAAGCATCCCGCTACTGGTGCTTCTGCTATGCCACAAGAGTCGGTGGCCTATTTCTTTTTGTCTTTTGTCTCTGACATCTGATTTTAGGTGAGTTTGACACAGTAAGTGAAGGAATTCTTATTTGTTGGCTAAATTTCTATTCTGCACAACTATTGGAGGCATGCAGTTGTACAGCTCGGCCTAATGTGGACCGTGAAGCATTAATGACCTTATAGATTTGGGATTTCGGGAACAAGGGATGAGCATCTCAGAGCGTGGAATCTAGCAGATTCAAACATCACGACCAGGACTGCAAAACAACTTCATTCCTCTCGTCTGACGAAAACCCAATTATCGAACAAGACAGCAAATGGTCGCAAGAGCTCATCTACAGAGCTGCAAAATCAGTGATATTGTGACATACTAGCAGCTTATCAATGTCGAGAAACGAGACGGCTTCATTGCTACGTGACGCCTGTTCAATCAACTTTGCACCGACGCAAAACTCACACGCCCCATGGGCCTTCGATCTAATATCCGTTTCAGCAAAATGCTTGCAACCCAACACGAATCTTCCGCTCCTCAGCACCGGCTTGCACTGTGGCTCTTCCATGGGCGGGGCAATTGAAACCGCGTTACTCAAGCCCACATCCTTGAGCTTGATGTAGCTTGAGTGAAACGGCTGCTGGCACCAGGCCACGCGTTGCCTCTCCGCACTGCCATCCATCACCACCGTGCACAATTATCTCTTGGGCTTCTCCCTAACCGCGCCGTTGATGTTCTCTCTCTCTCTCTCTCTCTCTCTCTCCCTCTCCCTCTTGCTCACTCGCTCGCTCGCTCTGCAATGAAGCTCACAAGTAGCGGAGAGAGCGTGCCCTACTCAGGTGAAACCAGACTCGCATGCTTCTGCAGTATGACAATAAGAGTAACGAAAACCTGAGCTGGGTTTCCGCATCGATTCTCGAATTCGTTTCTGCTGACCCGACGTTGCGCCTGACGGCTCTCCGACGCTCGCTCGGAAAGTGTAGAACGCCATAGCCATTCGAAGCTCGGGCTTCCTCTCGTGTCGCTGGGCGCTTTTCACACCTACCCACACAGGATTCGTGAACATTATGACAGGGAATTTTCCTAGAATATCGCATCTCTGGACTCCGTTCACACCCAGCCACACTTCAATATGGAACACTTTCATGGATTTCTGGTTTGTAGGTAATTTTTTTGCTAAAGAGGTGGTTTGAATCTACTTAAGTTGGTGTTATTTTTTTTATTTTATCTCGTAAGTTTCGATTGATTTAAGAATTTCGGGATTTAAATAATATGTATGACATGAATTTATGTATTTACTAAAAACATTAACTGATATTTGTGAAGAAAAAGTTTTTCTTTTTTTTCCATAAATTTACTTTAATTTTCTTTTCTTTTTCAATCATCAAATAGTTGACTACACAAATCAAGGATCGTATAAATTTTCCATTCTATCTCATAATCAAGTTTATTTGAAAATTGAGATGAAGGCTCTTACAAAAAATGCTCCATTTCTGGTAGATTATTTTGAATGGATCTAGAGATTACGTTGCACAAATGAACGCTGTGCATCAACAGGTACTTTTAAAGCTACACGTATATTTATTTTCAATCATCATAGTAAGAAAAACATATTTTGAGAACGTCAAGAGTAAATTTTAGTACATGTAAATTCAATGTAAGAATAAATTCATGAGACAGAACTGAACAAAAAAAAATAAAAAAAGGGTTGCAATTTTGTTTTTCAAGATATTTTTTATTATTTTATAAGTTACAGTCTGTGATTTTCAAACCATCATCTTGATCTGTCAAAAAAATATGATCTCAAGTAAATATTTAAATTGTACAAAACTACAGTATCATAATTTCTAATAAAAGCGTGATATCTTTCTAAAAGTAATATTCTGAAGCTATGTTTTGGGTAATCAGAAAACGTAATTCAATTCAATGGAAACAAGTGAGATCTCATGTAACAAGTGTATTACAAATCAATTCCAACATCAACTACTTCAACCTGCATTTTCTTGAAATTTATTTATTTTTATTTAAAAAAAAAATGCAGGTTGAAGTGTCTACAAAATTTATGTAAGTACTATGTAGCCCTAATTTACAACTACACTGTCACACACTTTTTATTTAACAGAAAGTAGTATATTCACAACAATTCAAAGAAGAACTCTTTCCTAAGCTTCAGTATCATCTCTAAAACCCACTTCGTTACAAATTCTATTGTTGTAAACAAAAAACGCCTTCTCCTCTATCCCTCTGGTGCCACTCTTCTTCCTCGTCAAAATCTTTTGATTTCTTAAACCCTCACTAACTGTATTTTTATGACTTTGTACTAAAGCATTAACATAACGCAAATGATCCACATTGTTTGAACATTGCTTCCAAACTGGAATACCTTGCTTCGTCTGCAAATACCCAGCTGCAAAAGCAACACCAAAGGGCTTCAAATCTTGTGGGTTCTTCTTATAGATTGCAATAGACAACGCAACGCTACCTCGCTCTTCACCAGATTTGAGGTAGAGCAACCGATGAACCGTCTTCCCGGCTCCATCTCTTCCTTCATTAAACTCAAACGTCAATGGAATTGTTGTGTATCCCAACAATGTACCCAAAGCAGAGCCTCGGTGATACACATCAATATGCAAACTAGCTGTTTCCTCAAACATGTGATTCACATCAACTTCAAGGTCGCTTATCCTCCAATTCCACATTGGGCTCCGACTTGCACCAAATTGGACATCACTGCATTTTTTGGGTACTTTGGGTGAAACCCAAACTTGTAAATATGGGTTCAAGTCCCGACAAGTGCCCATCGTTTCACATCCTTCAAGTTTTTTTGTGGAATGTATCCTCACTTCGACGCTCAACATGTTGGACCTTCTCAGAGACATTGTATTGGCTCTACAACATAGCACCATGAAAATAAAAATAAAAATAAAAAATGCTATGGACCCACAGTTTACAAAAAACTATTGATACTCGACTGACTTCTGTGAAAGTTAGCTTGGGAGGGGGGGGGGATAGTTGAAGGGACTTTTTTTCAAGCAAAAACAGAAAAATAGGGTTTGATCAATTGAAAAAACACATCTATTGTGCAGTTCACGCATTCACCCTCTTTCTCAAGTACATGTGTGCGTTTCAGCAAAAGTAAAAGGAAACGGAAAAGCAGATGGGGAAAAGTAAAAGTCAATGACCGGAAAACGCAAAAGGGAGCGGGGGAGAATCTTCGTCAGTGCGGCATGGCGGAGGTGGAGGAAGAGGCGATGCTGGAGAGTTTGATGGGGCTGTGTAATCCTCGGCAGTGTCGTCACGAAGAATGTTTGCAGACTGCTTTTGATCCTGTGAGAATGTAGCGTTTACAACGAACGTGGTTTGGAATTGGAGGTTTGCAGAATTGAATGTGCCTTTAGGGCTGGATGTGGCGTTGGGATCAGCTGAGTCGGCAGCAGACTGTGTGTGTGAGACCCTTGAGGGGTTGTTGAGGTTTCGGTTTTTGTGAGAGTTTGGAGGGATTTGGCTGCTGAATTTTGATAAATGATAGAGATGGCGGAGTCGAAGGAGGCTGTGATTGCGGAGGTAGAGATGGGTATGGCTCTTGGGACGCGCTCCGTGCGAGCCACGGTGGTGCAGGCGTCTACTATTTTTTACGACACGCCGGCTACTCTGGGTATGTAGAATTTTGCGCTTATTCTGCGATTTTGATGTTGAGTTCTGTGTTGGGACGTGTATCATCAGCAATGGGGCCGTGGAGAGTATTTTTTGATTGAATTGTTGAGAATTGAGTGTGATTGGTGGTTTCAGAGAAGGCGGAGAGGCTAATTGCGGACGCAGCTGCTCAAGGATCTCAGCTGGTGGTGTTTCCTGAGGCGTTTATTGGTGGGTATCCGCGAGGAAATACCTTCGGAGTCGTGATTGGTACCCGCACTCCCAAGGGGAAGGAAGATTTTCGGAAATACCATGGTTCGGCAATCGATGTCCCTGGTGAGTCCCCCCCCCCCCCCCCCTGTTTCGCGCTGCACTCTTTGGCCCTTGCTCAATACTTCGCAGCTACGAGGATCGAACGAGTGGACTTTGAAATGGCGACGCTTTAATGGTGGGAGAGAAACAAATGTAACAAGTGGAATGTTTGCTGATGCTTGCGAGGGCATGATACTGTGCAGGTCCGGAAACGGACAGGCTTGCAGCCTTGGCGGGCAGATACAAACTGTCTCTTGTCATGGGAGTTATCGAACGAGCTGGGGGTACTTTATACTGCACGGTAGTCTTCTTTGATTCTGGGGGTGAGTATCTTGGGAAGCACCGCAAGTTAATGCCAACTGCGTCCGAGCGTCTCATCTGGGGCTTCGGAGACGGATCTACGCTCCCAGTGTTTGACACGTCTGTTGGAAAGTTGGGGGCAGTCATCTGCTGGGAGAATCGTATGCCCCTTCTGCGGACTGCCATGTATGGAAAGGGTATGATGATCTAGCCTACATGTTGTTTTTAATATTTTACAGCAATTTTGTAGGATTTGTCTTTCTGACGTGTTACAGGTTCTTAGAAATCGTGCTTCTTTCGTGTTTGCCGTGGTCGGGCTTCTTCAGCGTAGTTTGTCCTTTTCGTCATCATTGAAACTGAACCTCTTCAAGCTTCTGCAACTGACCAACTAAGGATCGCTGGCCGTGTTCATTTTGGTTTGATTTAGTCCTTTTCTTTACTTGTACTCTATCCTCATTTTCTCTATCCTTCTGATGTACTTTGAGCATACATATCCTTCTACCACTCCGGTCATTACTGCGAGGAGCAGCTGCCACCTCTACGTCTTTTGCTTTTGATCTGTCTTGTCTACAATAAGCATTACTACAATTTTAAAGCTTCGCAACGATTTTCTTAAACGATCATGATCTTCTAAGGGCGTGCTTCGCCCATTCAAATGCTAAGGAAACAAAACCTTCGACACCACATACTGTATGAAATGAAACATGGACAATCAAGGTTTTTTTCTGTGTGGCGTGCAGGTATAGAGCTTTACTGTGCACCAACAGCGGATGCCAGGCGCTCATGGCAAGCCTCCATGATCCATATCGCATTAGAAGGGGGTTGTTTTGTGCTTTCAGCGAACCAATTTTGCAGGAGGCACGACTATCCTCCTGCGCCAGAGTACATATACAGCGGGCTCGGAGAGACTGAACCCGGCCCAGAAGAAGTTGTTTGTGCAGGAGGCAGCGTCATCATCTCCCCTGCTGGGACTATTCTTGCTGGCCCAAATTTTGATGGGGAAGCTCTAATTACAGCGGACCTTGGTAAGTGCTCGCATTACTTGGCCATGATGCAACTCTTAAAAAACACTATGGAACTCTTCACAAGTTCAACTAGACCATTCAGACAAGTGTTTTTTTTTTTCTTTCTTTTAATTTTTATATTGAGAGTTAGATATCCTTTTATGTATTGCATTTTTCCTTCTCATGAAACTTCTTTCCTGTTTTGCAGACATGACAGACATTGTAAGAGCCAAGTTTGATTTCGACGTTGTTGGGCACTACTCTCGCCCGGATGTGCTGAGCTTGATAGTGCGAGACCAACCGTGTCATCCCGTTACTTTCACTTCGGATCTACTGTCACCTATGGGAGGAAAGACATGATTGATACATGAAAAAGTTGAAATATTTGTCACAACTGTTAGTTAATGGAGTTGTGTAACAAACATAGCTGTTGGTTTTGGGAGAAGCTCGCAGAGAATTACTGTAGACCTCGGAAGTCTTTTCGAGCATGTTTCAAGCAACTGTGTTGGCCACGAAACAGTGCTCGTGCAATGTCTCAAGAATGTTCAAGGACGTTGAAAGTTGGGTTGGAAATAATAGATGGTACACTTCCTTTGCCTTGAAACCATTACAGATCTTATTTTTGTTGCATTAAATTTTAGTTCAGGGTTCAACTTGTAGGCCTCGAGATTAGCCCAACTTCTCTACTAGTAGGAGAAATAGATCTGGTAGTTGATATAATTATTTACATTAAAAAATTGAAACAATAAAAAAAAATTATAACCATTGTTTTTATTTTAATTTGTTTATAATGTTTTATGATTTTACTATATATATATAGATATATAAATTACAGTTTTTTATGATTTCAACTAACAATATAATAAACAAAGAAGAAGATGAAAGTGAATTATTGTAAAATATATTATATTGGTATACATCTATAAGATTAAAAAATAAAACATATTAAATTAGTTCATAGCAAAGGTCTTAGATTTGTTATGTAATAAATTTCTTTTTATAAAAGATTTAATCTTTGACTACAAAAAAAAGAAAAGTTTTTAACTCTAAAAAATATATTTATTAGATGACAAAAATCTATGTTACAGTTGTGTCAAATATTAAAATATGTTTGTTTAAAAATAAAATATAATAAAGTAAAAAAATGGTTGATATAGTAGCAAAAAAACTAGATATTTAAGATGTTTTTTATGTTAAAATTAATTGTTAAGAACCAAAAATAATAATATTTTTTGTAGTAGAAAAGTATTTTAAATTACAAGAATTAATTATTATGTCCTTAATATATAATAATAAATCATATGTATATATATATATATATATATATATATGATTAAATATAAGAGTACCATTAAAAATTTAAAAGGTGTATCAAGAACCAATGTGATTGCCAAAAAAATAATAGAGTTAATAAATACATAATCACATACTTTGATAGAACTAAAGAATGAATTTGCAAGAAATTATTTGTAATTCTTAATGTTAATTTGATTTTTTAAAAATATAATTATAAAGATGCTTGGTGAAAGAAAAAAAAAAGAAAAAGAGAAAGAAACCAAAAAAGATACAATTTATGACCAAGTAAAATAGATAACTAAATACCATCCTATCAAATTGAAATTAAAGAAATAAAACATCAAAAGCTCTATAAAAAAAATATTAGAAAAATAAATGATTTAAACATAAAAAATTAGAAAATTAGGTTGAAGATAAGAAACAAACATCTAACACTAGTGTTGAATATGTTAGTTTAACAGCATATAAGTGAAATTTTCACCAAGTAGTATTATGACCATTGGTTTTATAATATTAAAAACTAAAAAATATTCAAAATATTGATAGGGTTGGAAAAGTTTACAATTGATAATAAATACAATTATATATCTAAGTTGATGAATAAAAAAGTCAAGATATGTAATTTTTAATTGCATAGCTTTTTATTTTAAAGATTAAAAATATTAATAATATTATTTTTGTTTATTAAAATCGCATATTTTTTGTTATATTGAATATTAGTATAAGTAACAGTTCCATGTACTGGAGAGGTGCCGGAAAACTACTTATAGAACGGTAGTGAAGTTAGGTCCGGTTGACAACTCCGATGCCTATAAGCTGTCCTACAATAGAGGATCTCTTCTTACAGTGCTTCTCAGTGGGTCTATCTTCTGTAAAACTGGGTGAATGAAGTCTATGCTTTATAGCTAACTTGCTTGAGATCGACGAGTACTCGTACAGGTTTCAAAGCCTGGTCCATCCAACTGCTCAACCAAACACCAGCATTCTGTTGGGAAAGACTCAGTTTCTTACCGAGCAGGATGTCAGCAAAGACGTGCCTGAGATCTACTTCTGCTGCTGTGGGCTTCGTAAGTCTAATCTTCGTCTTGCTGTGTGATAACCACTCGGCTTGGTTAGTTGTCACGCCAGGTCCAGTGTTTCGTGACCTAGTTGCAGCTCATTTCTTTCCTAGATCTACAAGTACCCTCATTTTGTAATTGAACATGCTCTGCTTAGCCTTGAAAGTTCAAAACTTATGATTTTAGAAACTCTGAAGTTTTACGTTCTTGGCTACTTCCAAGTCCTCGCAACGTAGGAGGCTCTGAATTCCCGACATATCGAGGAGGATGCTCAGGGAGAATATATCTTGGAGTACCCAAACTCGCCCTGATGCTAGATTAGTGACAACCGATGCAATGCGAGGGGAAAACTCGCAGTTTGGATTAATCAGACTTGCTAAACGAGGAACTGACTAAGTATAATTGGACTCTTAAAGAGAAATCAGAATTCGAAATCTGGCTTCATGATGTAAAACCCAAGGAGATAACCGAGAAAAACCATTTCGCTGCTAATTAATAATGAGAGGGCACATACTTATGGGCTTGAAATAAATACTGCAAGTGTACGATTCTACTTTGTGGTCAACTGTGTATCTCGTGTCACGTCCCATTTTCTTATTGAACTTTCATCAGGAGGGTGTGTATATTGAATGAGAATAACTGTTCAGACTAGGTTAGAATGCATCTCATACTAGTTTCACACTTCCATCAAGCTGCAGTATATATTCAATCAGATTCGTTTCCATTTGAGTTGAGCGCATTTGCTACGTGACATGCATGCAGTTATAGGGAAGAATTAAACTAGACACTGAACAAGTTGTCACCGAAATTTCCCACTTCTTGTAACATATAATAATTATTATACTTGATGGTGGGTAACAGAACTTTGCGATAAGCTTCCAGCTTCTGGAGTCTACATCGGCTCCAGACACCTTGCAAGCGCCCCTTCAACAAGCGTTCAACTTCCGTGGAGCCATATTTGTTTAACAAAAAATTCAGTTATTCACAGGATATCTGTATATCTGTTATATCTGCTCCAGCTATGAAAGTTCATCTTACAGCTCCGAAAGAAGAGAGTAAATATTATAAGCGTAAGAAAAATCTATATCGGTTGGGTGGCTGCCCAAGATCTCACCAGTCACCAGTCCTGCTAGAAGCCCATCTGCTCGAACTACCAGCCCACCTCTGAATCCCGCTGGAGAACTGATAGAACCGCCCAAGAGCCCAGATGTGAAGTCGATCTCAACGATTGCGTACCTCCCAGCATCGTTTATTCTTCCTGGTCGAATTCTCACATCTGAGACCGTCTTTGACTCAGACTCCCAAGGCTCCTCGTATCTGTAGCAACATAAACTTTCGCACCAACATGTTACCTTAATGAAATTGCAGTTCTGATGTATATCCTTCAAAACATCTGAACTTTGAGAGACGAAGTTCAAAACTCAAAATATCTTGGTGTTCATCACGATGGTAAAAATTTCGGAGATTCAGAAGTGCAGTGTGCTACCCGATTACATAAACTCGGTCGTTGCGATCGACGTCAACGAAGAGTCGGTGTGGTAGACCAGACGGCCCAGCCACTCTACTCAGGAAGGCTAGTGCGAATGTTCCCTGCCAAGAGTGAACGCTGTATAGGGCTAATCCTAGGGCTGTGCTGGTTAGCATAAGCTGTGCCACATGGATGCCACCCTTGCTATTTTTTATAAGAACCTCAGTGCGACCTTCCACTACGCCCACACAAGTCACCCAGGCAGATTTCTGGAGTGCAGAAGATCCTGATCTTCTTGTATCAGGCGGCACGAAAAGCACAGCAGTGCCCAGAAGGGCCCTGGTTTCTCTATCTAGCACCATGCCGCAATAATTCTTTACACTTCCCCATATTAGGTCCTACACAGATTTACAACAAAGGAGGTCACATCCATTAGTTGCATTTCATTTTCTCCTGACTGAACCGATCAGCTGTGTATTTATTCCCCACAATCGCTTTTGATGAAACAGAAAAGGGCTTAAATCAGTAGACACCATGAATTTCTAGAATGGACCAAACCTCTAAATATCAATTAGATTAGAGCAGATGCAGTAATACCGACCTCTGGTGATACGACATGACAAGGGACTCGATTTTCTCCATGAGCTTCATCGATCTGTTGGCAAAAGCATTTTATGAATGTATCTGTTTCTATAAGTAAGGCATTACTGCATAAGATTTGAAGATGATGTCACGATTCTTGTCAATAATTAGAATCAGGTTATACCTGCACTCTCTCTCTTTCTTCCATGCGCTGAAGTAGGGATGATTCTAAACTCGAAGAAGCAAATCTATAGTTAATCCTCGCAAGGTCCTGGTCAGTCGACTCTCGAGAGTGCCCTGCATCGTCTGAGCTTCCTGGAACCATGGGTGGTAACCTTGGAAGATCTTTCGGTGCGATTAGTTCGTAAATCTGTGACGAATGAGATGATACTGGAGGCAATAAAGTTCCTTCAACATTGAAGCGCACGGCTGGAGTGCGTGTTGTTTCTGCCCCTGCGAGATCAGAGTCGCACCTGGAACGAGCCCTGAGCAACGATCCAACATCGACACCATGCTCGAGCACATCACGGTATGCTACTGCAAGATCATTTTGAGGGAGTCCTGGCTCTACATGTGTTTCTCCTACATGCTGCTCTGGACAAAGAAGGAAAATTTCTCAAGTGAATTAGCACCCGAAATAGGGAGATTATCTTGGGAAGTCATAAGGTGTTTTAGAGGGTCAGATGTATAAATATCCACTTTCGTGGACAGGGAACAGACAAGCAGCCAAGGAGCCTACAGTGGCTAACACACTTCCTCCTGCACCATCCCGATTACCATACCTCTAGCGGCGTGATCAAATGCAAATGCAAATAAAATAAAAGTCTAGTGTGCGGTAAGGAGGAAAATTCTACCATGGGATTTTCTATACCGCACGCGAAGAACGTTTGGACTACTATGACTGCCCAGAAAGAGCTTGCAATTGTTTACCGCTTGATTGAGTCAACTTAAATACTCCACTTCATTGTTTACAACACAATAAAATTTCTAGACCCCTTGGAAACAATCACTGTCTTCAAGACGGTTTCCCACCTTGTGCTCTAATGTTCTCACTCAGGTCACTCAGGTTATAATGTTCATTAAGCATGGACGTACGCACTGATATACAGACGGCGTTCGAGATCAGATCGGAGAGCTCAAAAACTTTCTATTCGTCTTTGTGATTGCAGCTCAAGTGAACAGTCGGACGCAGTAAAAATCGAGAGTAACGTCACTTATGCCACTGAAAACTTCTCGCGGTGTAAAAATGACAAAAGAAATTTCCTCCTTTTAAACCAATGCCTGAAGTAGAAAATTAAACTGTAACATCAATACTTACAATCGTTCAGTACTAACCCTAGTCTGATGAACTGCCTTTTCTCTCATCCATATTGTTGAGGCATTCGTCAGCTTCCACAGATTCTAGCGTTAACTCATCACGATCATGTGGGCCTTCGTACCATGACATTTGTGGTACATTTGTAGTACTACATTTATAGTGTCGCTTCAGACATCCGGCTTCTGCTCTTCCTCAAAGATCATAGTTATTCTAACCCGTCTCACATTCATTTTCGCTGTGTGCATGAATATTGTATGCTTCAAGCACAGTATTTAGTGGTCTTAAACACATTTGTACATGCCTTAAGAACTCAACATCCATTGTCCAGATTATCTAGCATTCTTGAAGAGATAGGAAACTCACATGTTCAGCTGATGTGTAGAAACGTTTTGGTGGTGGTTCAAATCCACTGCTTGTTGGCGTTCTTTCTTTTAGTGTACAAGATCTAGGTCTAGTAGAGTAGAATATCGGATCTTGATAATCAGATTGCCCAGCACTGGAGATCCTTGTTCCTTTGTTCTCGAAGTCTTCAATGTACTCGCTCCAAGGAGAATCTGCTGAAAGCGTCGCCACTGCTTGAGAATACTTGCTCCGTCGAGCGCTGTATTCGAACGTAGTAAACGATCCAGTGCTGAAGTCTACCGTGTTTTGGTTAGGTCTTTCATCTTCGGGGCCTAATACTGCTCCGAACTTGTCCAAAGAGAGAAAGTTAGCCGCAACGAAGCTACTGTGTGTGACTGGAAGCTTCGAAAAACCAGTACCTGCGATCGGTAGTTTTGGTTCAACATCGTCAATTTCTCGTTTGCTAGACTCCTTTTCCTGACAGGCAGATTGGAAGACGTCAATTTTGTGTCGTGAAAAAAGAAAATATAGGGTCTTGATCAGCGTCATATTCATACTTTCAGCTATCCCAAGGGTCAGCGTGAAATACGAGAGATCTGGAAAAAGTTGATGTTCTGTGCAAAAGAACCGCAAAGGTAGACTGTTGCCGCCACTACCATTACTGCATTGAGCTAGTTCAGAACGGCAGATCAGGAATAAATGCGCATAATCATGAAGGAAGAGTTGTATGTCCAGCTCAGCATCGTTAAGTACCCTACTGCATTGCAAGTGTCTTGCACCTCAATCTGTGGCCCATCACCAAGCGGGTTTCACCGAATCAAACCCATTACAATGAGCCAATCTGCTGCAGTGCCTTCAACCTACGAGGTTTCTGACACGGTAGTGCTCAACAATTCGCTTCTAAAAGGAAACTTGGGAAGCCTTACATATCTCTGGCACCAGTTTGCAACAAATTGCAAGAAAATTTACACATATTCCCTAAACTAAAGTGCTGTGGGAGAGCGGCAGGCAGTGCATTCGAAGTGACCCGCAGAGGGACCAGTGATCATTGCCGGATTTCGGTTCAATTAGATTACATTAAACCCTAGCCTACTTCAGGCTGTGCAATAAGCGCTTAATCATGAGAGCATATGCTATCTCGAACCTTCACATATCTCCATGCTTAACTCCAAAATGAGCAACATCAAAGCAAGGAAAAGCTAGGATCAGCAACTGTACCACAGCTGCAACTTCATCGTCGTTGAGGTTCATTTGAGGCTCGCCCCTGTTGGTGCGACTCTAATCGTTGCCTCCACAAAGCGGGCTACATTATCCTGTCTCCAGAATGTTCCTTGATGGACACCAGATGCGAATCATGTCTTCAGAACATTAAAACACTCCTTCCATCAGACTCAGGAGGCTGCCATCATCGATGATGGTGGAACTGGGAGACAGCCTGATGCCATTGCTGTCGCCGGCTGAAGCTTAAGAAGTCAAAGACAACCAAATGTGATCTATTCAATTATCTGTTCCTTGGACTGCGGGTCCATGCTCTCGCTCGGTTGAGTGCTGACTTCAGACCGATGGCATAACCACCGACAGCAAAAACTCCTATCTTCTGGAGTTTGTTTGCATGACGTACTTAACTCTAGAGCGGCACTTAACAAATTATCACGACTTTTTTGCAATCAAATATCTATTTCTAATAGAGTATCAGTTGGACCAACTAATTAAGCTGCGAAGTCGCACTCGGAGCTACTTGGAACTTGTCTTCACAATCTTTACACCAAACTCGTCAACCCTAACACAGCATCAAGAGCTTTGATTCAAACACAGTTATGTTCATAGTCACTGAAGATTGGTTCTCAGAACGAACTCACGATGCAGAGGTGAGAGTGGGACCGGCAATGACTATTGATGAAGAGCCAAAATGCTTCGCTCATGCACAGCTACTCATCGAAGCCACTAGTGGAATTAAGTTCTCCCTGTAGAAATTTAAATACGCCACTGTTCAGACCAAGATACTGTTGTCACATGCAAATGGCAATAAAGATCCAACATTCATGCGCACAGCGAACCTGGACAACAAACCAACGGAGAAATAATGTTAACTTTGAAAGTTTCAATCTGGACATGAAGTTCCCCTCGTACGAAAATGGTATGGTCTACTTCGAAAAAAGATCACGGCTTTGTAGTTACACACCAACATTATGGCAGCAACGAAATGCTTCCGGAGATGACAGAGCAACGTAGCATTTACGGTGGATCTGACGAAAGGGAAGTTTTGGACGGAGGTACTATTAGCATTTGTATTTTAATGCTGCAGACAGGTGCAGAGAGGACGTGTCAAAATGTATCACGTGGTTGATACGGTTTTGACCAATGCAACCCATCCTTCAGATTCGATGATTCTGTGCCCACACGTACCCCACGTGAAGTCAAGGTCTTGCTCCAATTTCCAATCCAAAACCGTCCACCGCTGCTGCACGGAATACTTTCTTTTGTGGGTACTCGATAATTGCCTATCATATTTTAACGCATTGTAATCTCCCGAGGAATGTGTTCCATATGCTTATCGCGAACGTCGCAGTTTGCCACTCAGCCTATTTAGAAGAAAAACTCTCCAGCTTGGCTCCTAGTTCACACACCCTCTGACATCGCTGTGCAATTCCCCAGCTGAATCGCCACGCACAACCTCGATCTCCACCCTTCATCTCATATACCACTTCCTCTCCCGTTGGCGCACAAATCCGAAGCTTCAAATGGGTTTCATACCCAATTTTAGCCAGATATTAAGACATATATCAATGGCTTCAGTACAGACGCCGCTGCAGCTCAGGTACCGGTGTTTCATGAGCTCGTGAGGTTTCGCCAACGCCTTCCTGCCGCTACTAATGGGGACTTCTCCTCACCCCCAGAAAACCAAAAAATTAAAATTAAAATTTAAACCTCCCACTACAACACTCACCATCAACGACACCCTCTTCCTCCTTCCCACACCAAGGACGGCAGTCTCAGTGCTGCTGCTGCTGCTGTCTATAGCTACTGCTACTACTGCAGTCAGTCAAAGAAGAAGCAACAGAAGCAGCAGCAGCAGCAGCGTTGAATCTGCACTTATCTGATCCCTGCTCGTCGTCGATGATGGCAGAGCCTATCTTCTTCACCTGGCAGTGCAGCCATTATGGTGGCTGTACTCCTTTGCCGTGCTCTCACTCTCCATTGCAGTGGCGTGGATTTCCCTGACCCCCCCCCCCCCCCAAGTGCCGCAGATTCGGCTTTTCTTATTGCTTTCCTCCGATCAGCTTCCGCATTCGCTCTGCACGTCGCCAAAGTTGGCAGTTTCGTTGCTGCAATGCTGCTGCTCCTGCTTCACTCACTCACCTCATAAAGTGTGTGTGTGTGAGAATGAGGCTTTGAAACTCCACGATGCTAAGGCACTAATTTCCACTACTTCTTGTGCAATATCTGTGCATTTGTGGCTTTGGTTATACTTGTGGAAATATTTCGTACTAGTCTTTGATGATTAGTGGATATGAATCATAAGTAAGTAAATAATAAGCAGAAGAATGAGAAGAGTGCTCCTATTTTGGATGGGTTTGTTGTATGAGAGACTTGTCAACAGTTGGGTGAAGTTGGTTATTTCACTCTCTTGTGTATGTTGGGTGTGTTGTTTGTTTTGATAGTAAGATGTAGATTAAAAATTAGCGTTTCAGAGTCACTGTGATTGCTTTAGTTGATTTTAATTATTCAAGTTGGTTTGTTCATTTTAAGATTGGCAAAATTATTATGTTTTAAACAAGTGTTGATGTGGATTGTCTGATAATAGCCCAGCAAAAGTTTTAGATGTGTAGCTTCAATTTCATTATTTGTTCAATAATATTTTGAAATTTGTTTCTAAGAACATTAATTAATTTGAATTTTTTAAACTTTTGAAGATTTTCATGAAATTGTTAATCATTTGTATTATTGCTAGTTGTCTTGTATAAGATTATTTCTATGTTTATAAACATAATAATTTTTGTAACTAGTAATGATGTTAAAAATATGCTTGATAATGAAAAATTTGGATTTATTTTGTAAATTTATCATAATTTTTTATTTGCTAAATATAAGCTAGATAAATTGGTAAAGGATCTTAAGTGTATATAGGATATGCCAAAGGCAAATTCTTATAGTAGATAAGATATTAATGGATAGTCTTGATAGAATACTCGATGGATGTATTTATCAAAGGATAGAAGTTGTCTATTAGGACATTAGCCACTACTTATAAGTAATGGATAATAGAAGTGAGAGTTATCTTATTCCATACTTTCTTTGTGTGCAACCTTATTCATGTTATATATTGTGACTTCAAAATTCTTTTTTTTCAATTTGTTATGGATCAATTGTGAGTTTTGAAGTTCTTTGAAATCTTTCTCATTGCGAAGAGTAGATCTTATGGATGTTGCTAATGTTAAGATTTGATATCTTTTAAATTTCTTTTGCATCCAATTATTGATGTAGTTTTGTTCTTACTTCTTGTTAAGTGCATTCATGGTCTTAGAAGTTGTTGAACACCTTAAAATGATATTTTATAAAACTAATATTGTGTTTTTTTTTCCTCAATTATATTATTGGTACACTAAAATTTTGCTTTTATGTCCTAAATTTCTTATGAGGTCTTTTTATAATAAAAAGAAGTATTTTTTTAAGAGTTGAGAGTGATTTAAGAGTAATATCACTAGTTTACTTATAAAAAAGTCATTCTAGATTTTTAAGATAATAACTTCTTTATCTTGTTTTTGAAAGCTTTATCTTATCTTTTTTTGGTTTTTTTTGGTTTTTTTGTTTTTTTTTATTTTATTTTTAACACCTCTTCTTTAAACATGGTTTCAAGTGAAGGTAAAAACTTGAGAATAATTGAGAAATTTAGAAGTGACAACTTTTACCATTGGAAGAAAAAAAATGAAGCTTTGGTTGTCTTCATTGGACCTTTAAGATATTATTGATGAAAGTGAAGAGCCTCCAAGCAATGATGCTAATGTTAAGATGAAGGAGTTCAAACATTGTGAAAAAAAGGCTTTTAGAATGATTGCAAAAAATCTCGATGATGCCAACTTTTTACATATAATTGCTTGCAATAGACTAAAATATTATATTACGTGTAGTCTGCTGGAGAATGCACTAGATACCCAGCTATGGAAGGAAAAATGGAATTTGCAACAAGATGATCCTAAAAAATCTAATAGAATTCTAAATAAACTCCAATTAAATTATAATTATGCTAATCAATCTTTAATTAAATCCAAAAAAAATTCTAAAACTTACAAAAGAAATAAAAAAAAATCTTTAAAAAATATCAATAATAAAAATTTTAATTGAATCCTAATCAAATTCTAATATGACCTTAAATAAGCATTAATAAAATCTTAAATAAATCCTATCCATATTCTAATCAAATTCTAATTAAGTTTTAAATCTTAATCCTAAATTAATTTTGATTAAATCCTAAATCCTAATCAAAATCTTAACAAATCCTAAATCCTAATAAAATCCTAAATAAAACCCTAAATAAATCTTAATCAAATTTTAAATCCTAATTCTAGATCAAATCCTAATAAAATCCTATTCAAACTTTAAAAATATTTAAATTAAATCTTAGGCAAGTTTTAATCAAATCCTAATTAAATTCTAAATAAATCCTAATTAAATCTTAAAAAAATATTAAATTATAATTAAATATTAATCAAATCTTAGATTCTAAATTAACCCTAATTAATATTTAATCAAATTATAAATCTTAATCCTATATCAAATTCCAATAAAATTCTAAATCTTGATTAAATTCAATCAAATCTTAAATAATATCCAAGAAAATTTTAAGTAAATTTCAATCAATTACTATGGCTATTTGAAATACCAATAAATATTAATTGAAATATAGATCTTAACTAAAACTTCACCTAAAATTTAACCAGTAAGTAATTAATAAGCACACAAAATTTGAAAAGAATCAAACTTACCAATTGTAAGAAAAGCTTCCAAAACCTGTCAATTGTTGATTATCTTCCTTTTTTGATTTGTATGTTGATTTTTCAACACCAATTTTTCTTTGCTAAATAGTTTAATTTCTCTAAATATTAAATTATATGTAGATATTCAAATCTTAATTATTTTCACCATATTTTTATTTAATCCAACAAGGAGATATTGCTAGATCTTGGAATCACTTATTGACCCTAAATGTCAAATTTTTGAGACTATAATCTACAAAAATCCTCATATGCTTCAATTTAATTGTTCAATTGATGTCAAATTTTTCACACACATTAACAAAAAGCACAATAACAAATTTTCAAAATTTTATTTGTACATATATTATAAAATATACAAAAACTTAAAATTTATAAACTTATTTTTATTTCTTAAAATCTAAATCCACCAAGTACATCATTAAATTTGAAAATTCTTTAAAATCTTAATATTAATTCAAATAACATAAAACCAACAATTAAAAACTTTCTTTAAGTTTGTTCTCAAAATCCACTCTCTAATTTGTAAACAAATCCTAAAGTTGTTGTAAGTGCTTGTTTTTGTGCCTCAAGATTTGATTTTGATCTTGGTTGATAACTAATCTTCTGTAATTATTAATTCTTGTCTTCTTGAGGTAATTTTTGCTAAAATCAACTCCTAACTCATTCTTATATATGCTTATATTCTTTATTTTTTTAACCTATCTTATTTTGCCTTATTTATGGTTCTATAAAATAAATAGAATCCATTTTCATAAAAAGTAGTTCTAACTTTATAGATTTTATTACATGTCTATTATTTATTTATTTATTTTTACTATATATTTTTAATTAGGCTCTTCTATAATAAAATACTTTTATTTTTTTTTTACCTAATAGCAATGTTATTTTACAATAATGAAAGCATGGAAGACTCTTTCTAATATCTATAAAAGTAGAAGCCTTACCAATATTCTATAGATAAGAAAGAAGTTCTTTACAATAAAGTTGGAAGAAGGAGATGATTTCATGGCTCTTGTCAATAAGATAAAATTACTTGCAAACTAACTAACAGTTATTGATAAATTAGTTGATAATAAAGAAATTATGTTAATATTACTCATGAATCTTTTAAAGTCCTATAACTATCTCATTGTGGCATTAAAGTCTATCAACATAAAAGAGCTTACCATGAAGTATATCACAC